GGGGGCACTTTCTTTCTGCACCATGTATTATAGAACCAACTGGAATATGATGAGAACTACTATTTATGTGAAAGGTTTCAGAATCTACATATGTGACCTGGGTCACAAGGCCTAATTCTGGTATTGCAGTAGTGCTTGCTTGCGTTCTGACTGTATCCTAAGTTTTGCCACCAAGGCTCACTTGCGTTCTGGCTGCATCCTGAGTTGTGGCACCAAGGCTTGCTTGTGTTCTGGCTGCATCCTGAGTTCTGGTGCCAAGGACCATTGCGTCCTGAGATTTGGTAGCTGCCATCTTACGTCCTGATTAATGGTTTGCGTCCTATGCGTCCTCTGCGTCTGATGCACAGGACGCACAGGACGCAAGCTTTTATTTTTGCTGATGCATGACTTAAGTTATGAGTCATGGGCTTCACTCAGGTGACACGAGTTGCATACTTGACTTGGTTATTATGTTTTAATTGGTTTTAGGTATATTGTGCAGCGACTCATAGGAGTCAGCTGATGGATTTTACATAACTCATAGTTATGAGTCACAGGATTCACGTGACATGAGGTATGAGTCATGCCAGGTGAAGAGCGACTATATAAATGGTCACTAAGACCCTGAGTATGAGCTCTTCATACCTCCTTCTTGTTTATTTCCTACCTTTATATTTTATCAATAAAACCTACCTTTATGCTCTTTAAGATTTATTTTAAGAAACCCAAGAATTGTCTTTCCTCCCACGATGATGAAGAGTAAGTCCTAAGTGAGGACTTAAGAAGGTTAAGGAAATAGGCTCGATAAGATAGAAGTTATAGGACTTAACTATCTATGTCGTATAGGCAACAGCCTAAGAACTATCCTCTTACCTAAGTAAGAATTGTTACCTGTCACATCCCCACCACCAGTAGGATTCTGAACAAGAAGATAGGATTGATAATAGATGCTGGATGATGGGAAAGTGGAATTTGTATAACATAACGCCATGACATTTCTTGAAACAATTTCTTATAATCATAAAAGTCAAAGCAATGGTGACCTGTCACAAACTCAAAGCTTTAGGGTTGATAACCTAGGAGTTAAAACAAACAATTACTAATGCATTACGGTTGCCGTCGCAGGAAACAGTGTCACACTTTTTGTTGGAAAATTGGTATAGAGTTTAGTCTTCCGGAACCATATAATCATTTCAAAACAGCTAAAAATCTGGTTACGGTTTTGGTCCGCACAAACTATACCCCTACCGGTAGCGCAATGGCACCGGAATAAGGGTGTTGTGCGCTCACCGCAGAATTGATATCCACATAACAGTAGCCCGTTGCTGCATGCGCTGATTACTACGGTAGCACACATGCTCACAACCTCTGATTCGTACTGTAATCTACCTCGAGTATTGCCCCGGCAACCTACGGTAGACTAACAATCCACCCTCCACCGCCAAGTCCACTTCAGGTAAGGCACGGGCAAACAAACGGACACACCACCACCCCCTTCCTTCAACCGAGACAGGGATTGTGGGAAGAAAAAACGAAAGAAGGAAAGAATAAGGCGATTCTCGTTTGTTCCACAGGAAAAGGAGAATTGGGCTCAAGTTAAGTACCTGTACGGTAAATAAGCTGAGCCTCCTTTCCTTTTTTTCTGTTCAAGAAATATTCTGGGTTCTGGCCGCACTACCTGTATGCTCGCTCGTTTGTGGGGTTGCGGTGGGTGCGGTACCGGTATTTGAAAGATTTCGATACCAGCTGGGCCGATCGGGCTGATTAGCCCAAATCTCCTTATGGCTTACCGGTATTCAGGATTGGGGGATGATAAGCCACCGTCTGGAGAGATGAAATTGATGCCCTATGGATTCGTTTAACTATCGTTTCAGGAGCAAGGCTCAGCTAGGGGTCTTCCTCCTCTCCAGGCAAACAGGTCGAGCGAGCTCAAGTGGAACAAGCGCTTCTTTCTCGCAGGATTGATTTGTTGGTCTCTCCAGTTACATACAACGCTTGACGTCGTAGAGTTTGCGTCGCTCATTTTTGGCCCGCGAGTACCCCACTGCTGGTTGCTCGCTCGCTCGCTCGTTCACTGTCCTGTTGACTTAGCAGGGGGTTACATTTACGGTGGTTGATGGTTATATTCGTGCTCGCATAGTACGGTATACAGTAGGTACTCGAGTACCGGTACTTGGGCATGATAGGAATGCTTTTTCTTTTTTTGGCTCGGAATCTTTTTTTTCTCCACAGGTGGAATGGTAATGGTGTGTACGGATCCTGTACTGTACTAGTACTAGTAAGTACGGTTGGGTACATGTGCAAGCGCCAATCTGCAGCTCGCTGCCAATGGAAAGATCGGATATTGTGGGTTTCGAGATGCAATTGAACGGAATGGGATTCTATATCTGATTCCGGAGATGGGTGAACAGTTCAAGGGGGAGGTGTTTTCTCACTCGGTAGGTGTTTTTTTCTTTTCCCCTTTCTCCTTTCTTGCCGGTCGTGGGATTGGATCTGGTGTAGGTATGTACGGTACAATAGCTGCAGGTTGCTAAGAGGAAAACTGGCACCCATAATTTGATACGCAGTGTTCGTCGCGCTTCTTGTGTGCAGTGGGGAGATAAAGGGTTATCTCGAGTCTTCCGCCATATACCTTTGAGCCTCTGCGATGTGCAAAGTAGCTAACTCACCTTTGCATACAATGCTGAGAAGGTTGATATTGCGTCCGAGTGCCAATCTCCTCATTCGGTTTCTGCAGGAAGCAAGGTGAGGCTCGTATCACAGAATCTGGACCGGAAATTCCTGTTCATAACCTTCCAACATCGCTGTCATATGCTTGTAGGCTTTCTGCTTTCCATTTCCCATCAGCTGTTCAAGTGTGTGTTTTTACTCTCTCTCGGTCAAATCTTTATTTCCTTTCCAGGGGAAGAAACACCTGATTATCAGCTCGGGCATCTGTGCCATCTTTTTTACCTTGTCACCATAACCACACGGCACAGCTTCACTCGTACCGTGCTCTTACAGGCACAGTGAAGGTTCAGTACGGTACTCGTACGAGTACAATACCGTACCCGTACCCATATCTACCTGTACTAGTTCTCGTGTTTTTTTTTTTTGCTTGACCAGGAGTGATGAAAAAAGAAAGTTTTTGTCACTCATTCCCGAGCCCCCCCTAGCCTCATTTCCCGGTTTGGTCGCTTCCTGAGCAACCGTACAACAAGAGGGCAGAGAACATCTGAATCAAGTGGGTCCCACAAACATCGTCCTTTTTTTCCCCTTCTCATCATTACCTCCCTCTTCCTTTTCAATCTTGTCGTTCGCGGGTGATACATGCACGCGTATTGCGGTCTTTCTCACAGTTCATGTGCTCCACGCTCTGGCTCTGAACCTGCTGCTGTCTACGAGAAACACAGCACCCTCAACACCAAAGGTTCGACGAGCCCCAGACGCCAACGGGGTGATCAAATTCGGCGAGCAAAACAACCGCCCTCTGGTCTACACAATTTGTACCAGTGATTGTGCTGAGTACAGTCCGTCCTCAGCCTGGGGGACTACCTCCTTTTCCTTCACGGTCCTGTACGTTACGGTTGTTGCTACTGCAACGGACCACAGTTGACTGATTCTCCTGCTGTCGGAGCGGTTCGAAAGACAAGCGAAAACAACAAGTGATATTGCTGGTTTTTTCTCCTGATTTTTCCCCCTTCCCTCCTTCCTATGCCAGAACGGAAACTGGTTCGATGAGAATTGTGTAAATTTTACCATACAACGGCTTGCTTTTGGATAGGTGATTTTTTCTCTTCTGAAGTAACAGCATCTGGCACGGACCCTCACCAGATAGTGCCCACCCCCCCTCCTCACCTGTCCCCGCCTACCCCGGAGAGCATCACTTGGTCCACCGCATTCCTGCACCGGGGTTTACACGGTGATATTGGGAGCCGAGTTCTTAATTCCTTCGTATAACACCTCTGGGGAGGTTGGGTTGGTTACGTGCCGGGGTGTGAACGGGGGGGCTCATCACGACGGGCACCTCGTCTCCTGGTCAACCAGTGAGGGGGATTGTATAATTATGCACCATAGCAGTACCAATTGGAATATGAATCCGCAGCAACGAGGTTTCACGTAAGTTTTTCCCCTCGCCTACACCCGAGCCTTGCATTACTTGGATTTTTCCTCGTTGCTGTCACTCTATTCCGTACACTTTTTTTTACAGCCGGACAAAGAGAACTATGGGTGAGCAAACAACTGATATTCCGCTCCGACCTCCTAGAAACCCTAATAATGCACCCGCATCGTCGGCCGCACAATCCTTGCGGAGAAGCACTTCGTCCACTCTGGAGACGAATCGTCGTTCGTCCTTGCAGACCGGGCAGCGGTTCTCCCCTCAGCTCAAGTGGCACAATACCTTGCAGCAGGACTTCACCGGGCAGAAAGGCCAGACTGGACATTCGGAAAAGAACCTGTCACCACCTGTCAATAACGTTCGAAAGCGTCACTCCGGTTCCTTTGACAGGAGCGATGCCATTATCCTCTCGCATGTTCACGGAATCCCGGAAGCCGACTCTTTATCTTCGGTTGAGCCCTTGCAACGGCTCAGTTCGAGCCCATTGCCGTCGCCTTCCAAGCGTCAACGAGCTCTTGGTACGAGCGTCAAAACCCCTACGAAAACGGGCCAGCTTGGTGGGCAATCTGGGAACGTGAAAGGCTCGGGTTTAGGAATGCAAACGCCCCCGCCGAGCAGCACTGCTACAGCCCGAAAGCGGGGGAGGCCCCAAAAGAAAAAGTCGGTTCAGAATTCTACTACCTCTACTTCTCAAGTTTTATCGCCTCCGCATACCAGCCCCTCCAAGGCGAGCGAGGGGGACGGGAGGAGTGGGACGCTGCATAATAGGGGCAACCCACAGGTACCGGTTCCCGACATACGCTTCCCCTCATCGGTGCCGGATACCTTTGACGAGTATCTCTCGAAAGAGAGTGCCTGGAATGGTGGATTGGATTACTCCAATGGGATGGGAGTTGTCGGCACTGAGGGGGAATCGTCGGATGCTTATGATTGGTCTTCTATGCGTGCCAACGTATCTGACGTATCCATTGATGGCTTGGATGTGTTTGGCTCACTTGTGCGGGACGGCCAATCATCTCCTTTATATGATGACCCCTCGGACTCGATCCATTTTTCCTTCCCTGATTTTGACGATGATCTCTTGGAGAAATCTATCCTTCCCCTGGACGTTGATCCAAATCTTATATTCTCCTCCGCTGCTACGAGTGTGGCATCTTCCATGCGTACTGATGAAATTAGAGAAACCGCGGCCCTGGGGACAGCTTCGCAGCCATATCAACACCAGCATCTACAACACCTTAGGGAACAAGAGTTGGAGCTTCAACGACAGAGGATAAAGCATGAGAAGCTGGTGAAGGAAAGGAGACGACAAGAACGGGCGGTAACTGCTTCGGGAGGACGCGGTGCTGGTAGCCAGAGATCATTGCTGAAGCATAGCATGAGCGATAGCCTGCTCTCCCGTTCAATTCGAAGACCAACCGCAAAGGCTGCGGACTTTGATGCAGCTGTCACTAGGAATAGTGTCGCTAGTGCGAGGAAAGTTGGATTGGAGAAACGTAACGCTACACCACCACCGCCAATGCCACCAAGGTCTGTGAGGAAGGAACGTACCGGAGGGCCTCCCCGGGGCCAGGGGCCGATCACGGTTAAGGCACCAAAGATGAGGACGGAGGTAACACTTGCAATATCTCCGGGGGGGCGAGCAAAAACGGAAACTACTATTGTATACGAGAGTTCGGATACGGAGGTGGATGAAGTACAGACTTGCGATTCATTCGAGGAGAGCGATTCCTCTTTTGATGATGATGAGCCGAGGGGTCTTGGACCGGATGGGAAGGAATATATTATTTACCGTGAACGGAATCGCTTAGGGCCTGTCCTTGAGGGCAGGAGTGCTTTACAAAGACGCAGCGGCACCATTTTCGAGAAGCCTACCCATACAGGGCCACCTCCCAGAACTCCGACTCGACGTTCTCCTGTAAAGTTAGCGTCTTCAACAGGGAAGAAGGGGCTTAGAGGGTTTGTGGCCAACACTGCGGCCGCTGCGACGGCTACTTCAGGAAGATTGGACTCTTCTCCGAGGTTGCCTACCCCACTTCGATCCAGCCCGCCTGCCAGCATTGGTCGTCATCTGAGAGAGTGTGTGCGGAGGGCTAGTGGGTCCAGTTTTGGTAGTTCAAGGGCACTTGTCTTGGGAACCCCCACTTTGGGGTCCATGCATGAGGTCAGCGATGAATCAGAGGCTGAAACCGTGGTGGACGGCACTGATATTGTCAACCTGGCTGAGGATGAAGCTGAGGAGGATGATGGGGATGCTATGGTAGCGTTGAAGAAAGTCATGCTAGGGCGTAGGAGGAGTGAAGGTGGGATATGCCCGGGGAAAAATTGCGTTTTTCGTGACTAATCACAGTGTAGTAATAGCTTCCCTTGACCGAACTCCGACCAAGGCTAGACCGGGTAGCGCGGTGAAGCCGAAATTCTTCTCTTCTGGTAGTAGCACTACAGGTCAGGGCCAGCGTTCAGTTACCAGACATAGCCAGATCCACCCTGGCCTATTATTACGGACATCGGCAGTCAAGAAGAAACTTTTCGTGGACCAGGCTGCTATAGGCAATTCCATCGTTCGTCCTCGTCGTAAAATGGCCGATGGGGGATTCTCAGAAGCAAGCACCTCATCACTGGGAGCACCTGGCCCGGGCCGTTTGACGCCGGTCAAACAGCATTCTAGGTCTGATAGCCGAAAAGAGAATATTGCCGTCGAAGAGGACTCCACACGTTGTGTATGCAAAAAGACAAACGAACAGGGAGGGACCACGATGGTTCAATGGTAAGCTTCTCATCCTTCCCACTCTGCTTGGTATCTACATCTCTAACCGTCCAGTTAGTGACTCCTGCAAAAACTGGCTACACATGAAGTGCATAGGATACAGTCGCAAGACCTTACCGAAAGTATTTGTCTGCGACTTTTGTGCCGCCCCCACCCCACAGGTCAAGAGCAGAACCGCCAGAAGAACGGCACCCACCGCGCCCGCGAACGGAGGAGACTCGTCACCGCAATCGAGGAGCAGCCGGGGATCTAGGGCCTCGAGGCAATGATCCATCTATACTTGCCTTTTTTCTTTTTCTTTTTCTTCTATATCCTCAGGATAAACTAAAGTTTGCTGTGTGTCTCAACAACGGCGTTATGAACCCGCAGAATTTTTGAGAAATATCTATCCCAGCTAAAGCGAATACTCTTCTATTTTCTTGGAATCTATTCGGGTATTTGGTCGACTGCGGTTCTTTTTAGAGTTGTTGTGGCTGCTATGGAGGCTACCCTGAGGATCCGGAAAAAATTGACCGGTATATCGCCTCACTAGAAACGTTGTTGTAGCTATCACCATCGTGAAGCAGGGGATGTTTGGGTGATTTTTCTTGTGGTTTTTCCTTTTTCTTTTCCTATCCTTGCTGTTTTGGAGATGCGGTAATTGAGCTTTTTGGATGCACGAAGTACAGTAGTGTCTGTACCTATACCAATTTTGAGCTTTGACTGGCGGTTGCGATATACCAGTTCCATTTATTTACCATATGGGACCCGTTTTTCGATTTTTTTCATTTCCATTTTACCTATTCAATTTTCTCATCTTTTTTTTTCCCTTGACGATATCTACGAAGGTGGTACGATATGAAGGACATCGCAAGACAAGATAGGATAACGAGCATCGGCACATAATTTCAGAATCACGAACAGTGGAAATTGCATGTTACTTTTTTCGCAAGGGACGGTGACCGTTGGGGGAGGGGGGTTATATATTGTGTATATTCTAGCCTACAGTGCTTCCATTCCATTTCGGCATTACATTATCATAGGTAGTTTTGTGTTATGGTGTTTTTTTTCGTTGGCTTTGAAATTTATGTGATTTTGCTTTTCATTCTTTTTCTGAGCTTGGTTCTGATTTATTGATCGGTTTGATTGAGTGATTGATTGAGAAGAATTTATTGATGGGTGTGGCGTGAATCTATTGGGTTGTGTGGTCCGGGATGGGTTCCGAGTGGGAAGCTGATATGCCATCGGAAGGCTGCATGCTGTTATCATACCAGCGGACCGGACCAGACTGGGGTGACACCGGGGGCTGAGTTGGGTATTGGGTGAGGCGCTGGATAGTGGTGTGTACGCTTGGGTATGATGTACTCTAGTCATGGGGGGTCACTCGGATGCAAGGGGTCGGGTGCTAAATGGGTTTAGATTTAGAAACCGGGAAAACTTGGAGAATCGCGGTTTTGGTAAATTTCCACTTTATGCAGTTAGAGCTGCGTGTGAGCAGTATGTTGGCCTAATGACTCTCGAATGTGCCTTGGCCGGCCCTGCGATTCAAGGTATGCTATTTTTGCAGTATGTATGTTTGTGTAAATTATATAGGTTGCCCGGGCGGGGTGCTATCTTAACTTCCGTATATTTCGGCCTCCAGACGCAAGATCTCCCCTTAGACACGATCCCAGATTATCTCTTGGTAATGTGGTTTTCAGATTTTGTGGAGTGTCGAAGGACTCATAATCGTTCCTGAATGTTGGGTGGGCCCTGAGGTTCCTAGATGTGCTCTCATCAATATCTACGAGTTCTAGTCATGCCTCTAGCCTTTTCCGGAGGTTCTAATCACTCCTGGGTTGTATGTGGTCCTGAGACGGGCCCAGGCCTCGCTGGTGTTCATATCCCCGGATCAGCTCCCGTAGCATTGGACCGTCCATCCACCGAGGAACGCGGGAAGAGAGCATATGGTAAACAGCCTCTGGGGGCAATATCAGAGCTCCGCTGTCACTCCCTGTTCCCCAAGCTCTCGCGAACAGCTCATCTCGACCGGGCACCACACCCACCATGTGGCCGAAGATGAGGAACTCTATCAATTGGCCAATCTCCCCTATGTGGGGGGAAAATATGTTGTGCCGGGGGTGCTGAGGGTATTCCGCGAACCCTTCCGGATGGAGCTCCCAGCGGAGCTTCCTCGGGGTCAGGTAATTTCTGTTGCTGGGCGCGTTGATATGGGTGTTGAGGTAGTGGGCCAGCTCGTGGAAGAGGGTAACGTAGATCTGGTAGATGAGGTGGACGGGCGACCTACCGTCTCGCTGTAGCCGCTCTATGGCGTCGAGTTGGTCCCCGTTGATCTCGATGGAGCTCGGGTCTCGGTTCCTGTCGTGCTCGCCACAAACTAGTAGGTTGCAGCCGGGGCTCTGGCGGACGAGGATCTTTGGGAAGGCCTTTGAGATCCAGTTTATCAGGTGGGCTACTTCCTCCTCCGTGGCTGCTGGCTCCCTCTCGACGTCGTCCGCGCTGGGATCTAGGAAGCGACCACGGGTGGCACGGGTGATGATCGCGTACTTGAAGACGATTTCTGGTCGGAGGACAGCATCCTGCACCCTACAGACTAGTTTGAAGATGTAGCTATCCGGGTTCTCCAGCCGTGCGCTCGTTCCGGAGGAGCGTTTTCGGAGGTCGTAGACTTCGGGCCGCACCACTGTTTCCGGCAGGACGGGTATCCGAGGGAATGGGCCCACCAGGAGGGGAAAATTGCCGGAATAATATATCAGCGTTTCTACTGGGTCGTCGAGATATATGGGAATGGGGGGGGCAGGGTTTGCCGCTCCAGTTTTCCTGAGCGCTTCCAGGGCACCCGGAGACCTGTGCGACTGTTTTATGAGTTGGGAAAGCGTTGTGTTTTCCGCGGGTAAATTGTCCTCCCCCCCATCGATGTATTTAACTACAGGTAAGCTGCCTTCCGGGACCGGGAATACCCGTTGTCCCGGAAGCCTCTCAGCCCTGATCCCTTCTAGTTCCAGAAGGGTAACACTGATCGCCTTCGAAGATCCCTGGGAGGACGATATGGACCCGATGTACGGGAGGAACTGTGGGCAAGGCTCTGTTACAGTCGCGGGAAGCCCTTGGATTCGATTCTGGACCTCTGCTATGATGTTCCTGGCATCGACTCGGTGGCGGTGCTCTCCGAGCGTACTAATCTCTTCGAGAAGGTTCCAGAGGTCTCTAGTGATATCTTTAGCGGCATTCCATTGTTCCTGGGAAAGGGAACTGGATGCTGGCCTACTACTGGTCTGGGAAAAGCACCTTTTCATGGCTGCAAGGCATATCGTTATCTTGTTCGGTGTTTGAAACGAGAGTCTGAAGGTATTGAACATTTTGTTCAGGAGCTCTTGGTCTTTCACAAATGGCCCCTTGTCTGCCTCCCTTTGCATTGTCTGCGGGGCGGACGGTGCTAGCGATGCACCTCCGCTTGTGTGCTGTTCTGGGTAACGCTTCTGGAAGCCTGTGCTTGTCGTGAGTGTATTTGAGTCTCTCAACGGCATACTCGGTTCTCAAGCTCGGATGGGGATGTTGAGAGTGGGTGGAGTAGTAGTTGAAAACTTGGGTCTGGAATCATTCGAATAGTCAAACTGAGGATCAGAGGTACTAGTACATGCTAGCCCCCCCTTTTCGGGTGGTTGAAGAAGTAGCTCCGAAGTCTGAAGCACCCGCTATTGGTCTGTAAATCCTCACGTGGGGGAGCACTTTGGTTGGGGTCTCCTCTGACCGTATGGTGGTAGCGGTTGTTTCGGGCCTGGTATCTATTTCCACTATCATTGCTTGGCTAGGGAATTGGGTGCTATCACTAAACAGGAGCTGTGGTGTCAAAAGAGAGAATCTTCGTTTAGTGTTTATTCTAAGGAGAATTTTGACTGCGGAATAGGAGAAGAGTAAAGAAAGCAGATTTGAACACGATATATCACTCGGCAATCTTTCCCACCTGAGGTTTAGTTAGAGGAAGAGATATATCACAGGCGGTAGCCCAAGAGTGGAAGTGGTAAATATAAACGCCTTGTTGGTGTATAGGGCTCGAAGCCGGGTGGGAATGTCTCCACACGGCTTTTACTAAATTACTACTATTGAAAAACCTGGGTTTTGATTTGAGCCTCACGAAATCTTGAAGAAATTCGGAGACCCCTAGTTAGAAATTTGAAGACTCTTGGTTTCATCCTATACACCTAGTGTTCTTGAGATGAGTACCACATCTGCATCTAACCTTTGGCATTGGGCTGATACTTGACACCGCGATTTACATGAATGTCAAACTTGGACACCCTTCTGGAGCGTCTCTGCCAATGCGTGGGTCATTTCAAAGACCGAGGATACGACATATTGCGGAGAGGAAAGTGGATTGTCGGTCGGAGGATTGAGAGAATGCATACACCCCTCTCCCCTCTCAGCTGCATCGGAGCCAAGGAAGTTTGCGATGAAGCACCGGTCATTCCCCCCCCAAGCTTACACCCTTCGAAAGGGCCACTTTCCGGGAGATTCAAACGTGGAGTCCTGGGAAGTTCTAGTACTCTTGGATAGGGCCACTACGGCTAATTGTTCCTGGTGGTATGATATCTGTTCGGGTTCTCTGGCATATTTGTCGTCATGTATCATAGGAGAATCCGAAAGTGGGTTGTTCCCTTCTGCGAGGGGTTTTGTATGTATCTCGGAGGCTGAGAGGAGATAATTATGTCTCGATGCGGGGAAGTGGGCTGCGGGCCGCTGGGGAATGGGGGGGGGGTAGGGCTAGAAGGCTCGGGTGTGCTTGAGGGTGGGGGGTCGCAGGAGGTTTCTAGGCTGTGGCGGGTTAGCTGTTCACAGGGTTGGGAAATTTACGCATATCATAATAAATTATTATAATTTTACCGTAATTTACAGAATATAATCTATAATTTACATATGCAATTTACAAGAACAGGTTGATGCCCATGCCCTAACCCCCAACCTCTTTAATAAAATTCAAATACCTACATCTTAATTTTCATCATAAAATTGATTTTCTCTCTGCAGTAAGGATAAGCCATCATATCATAGTAGCACTGCTTATACTATTAGTCTAGGATAAACTTACATTTACACAAATTATGATAATGCAGACTTTAATTCCTCGATTCTTGTAATTGTAATACATATCACTATCATAACCAGGGGATGAGAACTTAAGTCCTATGTTCTATGGGGATAGTAATTTACATAAAAAAAATTAATTTACCGTAATTTATAGTCTCCAAATCCTAGCTGTTCAAGCTCTCAAAGATTTGGGCGCTTAGCTCTGACTAGATTGAAGTTAGGTAGGGAAGTTTTAGGAATTGGGTGGGAAGGGGGGGGGGGGGCGGGCGAGCTATTTTTTCACTAATGTATTCTGAGATGGATGTCTCGCTCTTACGGATGATATTTTGTGATGGGTTGTGGGACGTTGTGCATCTTCTCTAAGGTTGTGTTCTCGGTGAACGTGTGCTACATATGATAGTGATATGTGCGGTTGGGCGCTGAGGTGCCGTGTGAATCTCCTACCTAGCTTCCGCATCTCTATGGATATGGGGTATAACGGTCAGCGGTATGAATACTTGCATTTTGGAATATTAATTGTAGCTGTTGGTTCTGAGGTATACATTATTTATTAAACAAAGCCTTATCGGCGAGTGATAACCGATGTTTCCCTCTCTCAAGATCCACTTCAAGAGGCCTCTATTTCCCCCAGACCACGCCCACGCGATCAATTTCATCCCCACTCCTTCCCCAGAACCCAACAACCCTGAAACCATTCCCGGGAGGTGCCATGTTCACACAATCGTCAGTTGTCTTGCCTACTTCCAAGGTCCTGGTCGTGCTGGTGGTGACCTTCAAATAAAATACACGGGTATGCCCATCCTTCTTTCCGGAGCAAGCGTACACTCCGACAATGGCCTCTCCGGGATCCAGAGTAATACTCAAAGCCCTGCCACCACCACCACCATGTGTAATGGCATCGATGCTATCATATGACGCGGAAATCCTGTCCACACGATTCCCGCCAGAAAGCGTAAGTGTTGTGATGGTCGGGGTGATGGAACCTGCTGACAGCGCGGGAATATCGTTGTAATGGTTTCCGTGCGGCCCTCCAGCAATATCCGACAATCGCAATTTACCGGGAGACCACTCGAAGGTCACGGAAAGTGGATAGTGGTCGCTCAACGGGACGCCAGTGGTCGGGTGCAGGAAGGCCCTATGTTCGTTGGTCATATCCACCACATTCAGTGTGAGCACTGGGGAGGACCTGTACAAGATCTTATCCACCGTCTCGCAAGCAGTCAAGGTTGGCTGGTCCGTAATGGTGTTCGCGAATGGAAAGGGGCACACCAAAGCCTGTCCATTCTCCTCCGGGGGGGCCCCGCCTTTCCGGTATTGAACCCAGGCGTCGGCTGCTCCGACACCGGATACAAAAGCCCGGATGGAGTCCGAGATGGTGGTGTATCGCATATTCGTATCGCCCATCATCACTACGGGCATGCCGGCTGAGAAAGTCTTCATGTACTCCACAATCTGGTCTACGTTTTTCCTTCGCGCATTTAGATCCCCGGCCTCGCTGCCGGCATCTGTATGGAAATTGTATACGTCCACCCAAGTGTGCGGGTACAATTCCATCCGCATGGCTGTGAACCCTTTCGGTGTGAGGCAGTCGCCGGAATTTATGTAGCAGTCGTTCCATGCTGTGCGAGTGAAGTCTATGAATCGAAAATTGGAGAGGGTGTTTAGACCGTCGCCCCATGGGACACCACCGGAAGTTGGGGTGCGGTGGGGGTGGGAGTCTGAGGCGTAGAGGGCCTTATGGTGGTTGAAGTCTTCTTGAACGTTTATCAGGTCGTAGTTTCCCAGGCGTTGGGATATGTAAGGTGTGTTCTCAGAGGGGTCGGAGGAGGATAGGGCATCTAGGTTTGTTAGTATGAAAGGAGAGAGGGGGGAATGTAGGGGAAAGAAGGAGAGGCATACCTGGGAGACCTGCAACATTGTATACGAGAGCTTTGAGGTATCCGTAAGTAGCAGCTTGGGCGGTAAAGATGAGACTACTGATTACCCAAGTTCGTATCATCTTGATGGTGGCAATTCTGCTCTGAATGAATCCATCGTTTCTCTGCGGTTCCCAGGTCTTTATTAACGCCCCCTAATATCTAACTAGCGCACTATCACACTCCCACCTACCGACTTCCAACTTCCCATACCGGTATACCGGAACCCTTAATTTTCGTACTATACCTACAATAGGACCAGATAATTTCCCAGTATTATTTCCGTGCTGCTGCTCGTACGTGCTAAAGTGTTCTCCTGAAACTTAAGATTATTCCACTACCGAGCTCCGGAGAATCCGCGGTGTGTCGGATAGAGTCCGATATATATTCGTCCAGTGGGGAAGGTGTTTGCCGCGTTTTATCTCGTTTAACGTTGGATACATTAAGTGGCATAGTACCGCAGGAAGTGGGCTGGGGGCTGTACAGTACAAGGCTGGCGACAGAGGAGGTGGGTAGTGTAGGAGTTTACCACTGGAAACGGCGATTTTCATAGTCTACCAACCACTGACCTGATGAAGCAATCCAAACCAAAATTTCACCTATATGTGAAACGGGTCCCTAGATCTTACTTTCTGACTCTTTAGAACTCCGCGCCTGGGCTGGTTAAGGAATTGCGAAGAAAGCGATGGGTGGTACCAGTACCTTGGTCTTGACGCATTTTCTAAGGATTTTGTATGGAGAATAGATTGGCTTAGTTGTACCATTCTATTCATTTATTTTTTCAAAATTTCTCCCCCCGGCTTTAGAATAGGTATATTGAACGGAAAGCGTAGAATAGTGTGGTCTGGGTTGTTGTAGACCATTCTGCCCATCCTTTTTGTCGCCACCCTCGTATAGTACGCGCCGATAGAATTCTGGAGAGTTTTATTTAGGGTGAGATATAGTGGAAGAATTGGCTCGAGGAGGTTATTGGAGTTGCCGAGATGGTTTCCACTGGCAAGATGCGGATAGAGTATTCTTCATGTGCGCAATTTATTCCCTAAAAAGAGCTAGATGTGGGATGAGTTTATGGTACTGCCCCCACTATGATTTGCAGTAGCTAAGGGTAGAGGAAGCCCCGGGACCTTGGTAAAATGGGCCAATGGGCCGGATCCTGTCCTGTGTTGACTGAATCGCCTTGATTTTCCCTTGTGTGGGGCCCGGGTGCAAGGATACTTCTTAGGCTACTGGTACAGTATCGATCTCGCTCGTTTTGGTTGGGGCGATTGAGCATCGGTTGTCACTCTGATGTAGGACTTGGGGGGGGATTGAAATAGAAGGTGGGACAAGTGGCATGAGTTTGGCGATGGCTTCTAGATGCATAGGAATTGACGGGTAAAACCGTAGTGGTGGATAGAACTAGTAATGTTAGACCGGCTGTCAAGTTCCGCTGCCATCCACTCGGCCAATGTGAAACTCCGATGCGCTATTCACATGCCTTATCTCCTCTTAATCACCCTTGGTCCAATTATAGATCTAAACTATCGGAGCGCCCAAGGATCTAGTTCTGCCAAATTAATTCTGTGAAGAATGATATCGGAAGGAGGTATAAGGCATGCCTACAGATGATCCTTGGGAATTTGATGAGAAGCATAATGGGTTTCGTGACGCTCTTTGGGGAATGATTACCTTTGAAAGCATGCTCCTAGGGGGGCAAGAGGTATCAGGTTAAGGCTTTAAGATCTAGTGGTATGATATAATACCTGAACTTGTGAACACCAACAAATATTTAGTGAATTGAATTGGGTTTAGCTTGGATTCTAGTGCTACTGGTACAGCGCAACTAATGAGGGAGTATCACACCCGAAAATAATTTGTTTTTGTGGTAAATTGAACTTTCTAACGGCCCAAGGATTTGGGCAAAGGACATAAGCACACACGAGAACGCAGCAAAACCTTCCCCAAGAACCAAGTTCGTCAAGTCAAAACACCCTAGAATTCCACCTCCCACGGGGCAAATAAAGAGCGTTGCACCCCGGTTGTTTCTCTGCGTAGTTATCTACTCAGCGAGAATTTGCTCTCTTGTCGGTAAAGCCTCATCCGGTCCTCCAACCTCTGAACTGAGCCACGAGTAGAATAATTCAGGAGGGTTATTGGGGAGCGAATACTTCTACGACCCCATAAGCATGCTAGAAATAAAAAAACCAATTGGCCCCTAAACTTGGATTAAGGAAGGAAACGCTGAGGTAATATCAAACCGACCTTCCAGAGATACTTGATCTTATAGAGCTCATTGATAAGGTAGATTTTGATCTCGGGAGCGGAGTCAACGTGGGTTCTAATTTCGTCATACTCTGTTCCGAGCTTTTGAAATCTTCTTTGGTTGGGGGCTGAATGGCTTCGAGAGCACTAATTGATCTGGACAGATTTTGTAGCGCAGATGGCGGCAAGGGCTTTCGGGGAATCTTGAATGTTGGGGGTGTGTTTGAGGTTTGGGGTACACGAGCAGGGCCAGGGGTGGGTGGAGAGGGTAGAGGAGGTTTCGTAGAAGGAGGTGGGGTATTGGGGTGTGGCGGTGAGCTCGACGTTAGGGGAGGATTCGGAAATCCACACATTGCTATGACCATTTCTCTCTTAAGCGCCAGTATTTGGGCCATGGTTACAGGTGATTCCACTCTGATGCTCGGCGCAAATACTTGTGCTTGCTGAATATGTGGCGCTTGGTCCGGGTTTTCCTGTAGTGCTTGAACTGGGATTGAAGGGCTTGAAGGGGCTTGCTGATTTGCCGTGACCTGGAACCTGCTATCTGGAAGCCCAAAAATTGAAGCCTGCCTGCCGTGGTGTCTCGGTGGTGTTTTTGTACCAGATATCATAGATAACCATTCATTTTTATCCATTAATCTTCTGATTTGGGCTTTCTCATTCAGATATAAGGCTCTTTGTCTTAACCCGCTTCGGGGATTAGAACTACCCATTCCCCGACGAAGTCCATAACTACCACTCGTGTCTCTTGGTCCGATTAGACATGAAATTGTTTGGCTCTGCGCTGGAATATTTGCTTTCGCTTCCCAAACGGTCAGTAGGGATGGGTCCTGTCTCGGGGGTGTCCTTGCCTCGCAGGACTGCACAACTTCAAAGCTTCTGCTCTGCTTTGGAGTGACAACCTCATCCGGATAGCCAACCTCATATTCACTCCTGCAATTTGAAATATAATCATTGTATGAATCAGAGAGTCTTATTGCTAGCTGGGAAAGCACTGAATCTCTGGTCGTAGCATCGTCTAGTCTGCTGTCCTCACTCAGGTAAAACAGTGTCGGAACTCTTGGGCTGAATTCTGCCCTGTACAGAGGGTGGTTTTCTTTGTTTCTGCCAGCAGGGTCTGGCGGGAGGTTGGATCCTGATATACCCTCCTTAATACTCTCGAGAAGCTCTGAATGTGTAAATACGGGTTTTCGAGTTGGGATAGAGAGGGCTGTTGAAGAAGTTTTTCTGAGTGAAAGAACCTCAGGATATACTGGTGCAAGAGTGTTCTGATTATCGCTTCCCCACCTGCCATATTTTGCAGAAGAGAATAAGTACTTTATTGGCTTTGCTCTGATTGTGTCCCACATTTGTGTTGATGGAGGTGGTGTATGGTGTAATGTTGAGGGTGGCGGACATAGATGTGGTAGATACTAGTTAAGTTTGAGATTGACCATGGCTTTATAGTTAAATCATAACTTGTAGAATAGAAATAAACAAGATTTCCAAACTCGTGGAAGTAACATAGAAATTGGAGAAAATCTTGTGAGGTTTAAGATATTGTGTTAGCATGCAGCTATCACCTACTCCTCCTGTAGAATGGTGGGGCATGGGATGTACCTGATATGGAAACATCGTGATAATGAATTGTGGGCGCTTGGATAGTGAGCATTCTCTAAACGACTGTGTAACAACTTTCAACATCCTATTAAGCCCAAACATGCCGCTTCTCCTTTCTCCCTATAATGGAGGCGTATGAAGGGGCTATATGGAGTAAGAGAAGTAAATAATTAGCGCTACCGAAGCTAAATCACCGACACTCACTCGGTAGCACTGTACTAGCACAGAAGGAGGAGTTGGTTCTCGTCTTCCAGCCCACCGCAAGCTGCACCAAGGTGATGTCTATGTGTTGTAGTGTGATATCCACAAGAGAGTTTTCATGTATTAAAGGGATCCGTTTATCCCTCCTGGGGGGGGGGGGCGAAGAAAGTCACCCCTACCGTTGGAACCCGTGTGCTCTTGCCTCCTATTTACCTCGATTTATGGCAGGGAACAGCCGGCCGCTGGCACCGGTATGTTCTTTACCGGCGGGAGGACTAAATCCGCCCCCCAACAGTGCATGCATGACTGCCAAGCCAATATCCTGGGTTACGACGGCTCCACAAAATCCCCATAAACTCTTCCAGTATTCCCGCTCCCACTTCCGTAACCCGTTATGCCACCACCGCCCCTCCCCCCGCGTACTGTGACCTCGCGGATAGTCCTCTACCACCAAACCCACTATACCTCTTCCAAAGAATACGTTTCCATCCTTCCTCTCCTCACCGAAAATACTGGCACCACTCACGTGATCCTCGCCGCAATCCACCTCAACGACCCGCCCGGTAATATCCATCTCAACGAGACGTCGCCGGATGACGCGATATTCGAGACGCTCTGGGATGAAGTACTTGTTTTGCAAGACTCCGGTATCAAGGTCCTCGGCATGCTCGGCGGTGCCGCGCGCGGCTCCTTCGAGCGCCTGGACGGTAGTGAGGAGTCATTCGAGGCGTACTACTGCCCGCTCCGCGACATGATACACAAACACAAACTCAATGGACTGGACCTCGATGTCGAGGAGGAGATGTCGCTCAAGGGGGTTATCCGGCTGATCGATAGGCTCAAGGCGGACTTTGGGCAGGACTTCTTGATCACGCTTGCACCCGTCGCTACCGGGCTGATTAATCAGAGGCATCTGTCTGGATTTGATTACCGGATGTTGGAAGTTCAGCGTGGAGGCGTGATTGATTGGTACAATGTCCAGTTCTACTGTGGGTGGGGGAGCATGGAAGATTCTCAATGTTATGATTTAGTCATGGCGATGGGATGGCCACCGGAGAAGGTTGTTGCTGGGGTTGTTACAAATGCGGCCAATGGGAGCGGGTGGGTGGAAATTGATGTGCTTGTTGCGGTGTTTATGGGACTGGTACAGAAGTATCCCGGGTTTGGAGGGGTGATGGGGTGGGAATACTTCAATGCTATGCCTGGTGGGCTGGGGAGGCCATGGGAGTGGGCAGAGAATATGGCGAGTGCCGTGGCGATGGGTAGAGCGTGGTAAAGGTGGAGGCGGGTACCTTCAGTGTCCTCTCTGTAAAGTGGCTCTGGGGTTTGCTTTCTTTCTTATAGGGAAGAATAGCTTCGCTCTATTCCCACTGTTTTTCCATTCTGTCATCATATCAGCCGCGTGTCGTAGGGTGGCCAGGACTGGGGGGAAGTCGCAATGAAGTTGATTCCCCGTACATAACTAACCCAATAGATTGATACTGCTCCTCTAAATCTAAGCTCTTAGTTGGCCGCAAACTTCACCCTCCGTCCCCGTACCTGCCTACGACACCACTTTCTTTCACAATATCCCGCTCACCCTCAATAGATCGCTCTAGGTCCCTGTGGCCAATCGGGAACCTGCTTCTGTATCTAGCCTCTGTTTCTTCCTCTCGACAACTCCCTGGCTCTGAGCACTTTTTCTGACTTTTAGAGCTCCTTTCTTTACCGCTTCTTCTGGAAGTGGTCTGTAGTAAGGTTGACAACGGTACCATGGCACTAGCCTATTAAATTTGACACCATCAACCTCGATCATTATCCCTTCAGCGCTTTCCTCGAATGGACTATCCGGACCGGTCCATCGGCCATTATCGTCCACGGGCTCTGGATTTTGGCTTAACTCGGCCTTGATGATTTTTTCAACCTCCATTAAGCAAGTCTCATAGGCTTCCAAAACATCTCCATTCTTGCTTACTCGAGCGGAACTTCTTGCAAGCAGTGCCCTAACGTTTGTATGTTTTGGTAATAGTGTGTGCCAAAGTTTGAATAAATGTGGTTTTATCGCCGTTACCGAGGGATCCTGCAATAAGAGCTTCTGCCCCTTCTCTTCGAGTCCCGGTAACACCTCTTTTCGGACAATATCCAGATACTCCCTGCCTATGGTGTCCATTCTCGGGAATCTCTTTTCCCAATCTTCATCCGATTGGAAGATGGCCGGATTGTAGAGATTTCCCTCCGCACTCATTACACCATCTGCACCAGTGGCATCCAAACAGCGCTGCACATCCTCATGCCAGAGGATATTACCATTTGCGAACAGGACAACGTCCCTCGGAAGGTTATCTCGGATATACCGTATGACGCCCCAGTCCGCCATCCCAGTATTATGACCCTTTTGGTCTCTTGTCCGGCCATGAACGGTTAGAATCTGCGCACCAGCACCAACCACCATTCGCGCATACTCCAAACTACGCTCTCGGTTTTCCAAAATTCGGATCTTTGCAGTAACCGGGACCTCAAGATCTTTGTGTAGCTTGGACACTAGACTGTGGATAAGTCCCCAATCCTCCTGCAAGAAAGCCCCATATTTGCCTTTCCGAGCGATACCCTGTGGACAGCCAAGATTGAGGTCTACGCCGTCACAATGCGGTGCTACATGTTGTGCAGCGGAAAATAAATCCTCCGGAGTGTTTGAGCAGAATTGGACGAAAAGCGGGCGGTCGGGGTTTGAACCATCAAGGGGTGGGTAGAAGGATTGGGATCGGTATACAGGAGTCGTAGCAAACAGGCGGGAATGGAGCATGGGGGTGTAGCAGAGAGTGTTTGGGGGCGAGTGGCGACGGGAGAGAAGTCGCCATGCCTGTGTTTGTTAGCGGAGGTCAAGTAGAAAGACGGGGCTAACAGACCAGTTCTGATTGCTCGACCATAGGAGCTACTATCGTCTTTGGGGAGCCTAGGGAGTAATAGAGATCTCTCCCTGTCGGCTTGGGCCTGGCCTTTGGTGGGGCGTCCCGGGCGATTGGTGGGGTTGTGATTGGGCTAACCGACATTAATGAGGGAGAGCGAAACAATAAGTTAGTGGAGATGTAGGCGAGGCCAGAGGTACGCCGGAAAGAGGCGGGAGAAACAATGGGCTTCAACTTGAATAGTGATGGTATTGTCCAAAGATTCGAGGGTTGTTTGTGATGTTTAGAGGTGGGAGGAGAAAACGGTGGCAGGCGATGGTTGTGTTTTGAACCAAAAAGATTCTTGCTCAACCTAGCGTATAGAACTGAATGCATGATACAGGAATGTTCCCGTAACGTACCGTACTGTACAGTCATGAGGCTCTTATGGCTGAAAGCGCATGTTTCCCCATCGCCGGTAGAAACCAGTACCCTGGCGATGTATTATTATTACAAAGACATCAACTTTCTCACTTTGACCCTTTCCTTCTTCACGACACTCGCTCAACCCCAAGCTCTCCCATTTTACAATAATCTTAGTTTAATGTATCATCTCGCGAAAGGCCTCTACTTTCATGTTACCAGCAAAGAGGAGTACTCTGTTCTGTAAGATCCCCCACCTTTGGCGCTTGGATGCCCCACCACTAAACAACCAACCACCTGTCGCGTTCCCGCTGACGACTCTCAACTAGCCTCCTAGGACTGGACAATGCTGGGAAAACGGTATCTCGCATTTCGCACTCCTCTAAACCCCTCCAGAAGCTCCCGAGCACACTCGCTGACCTCGCGTAGACCCTTCTCGAGAAGGTAAAATCAATATACCTACCAAACGCACCACCCCCGCCAAAAGAGGGCGGAACGATTCCCACGGTTGGGCAAAATGTTTCCGTGATCCCACTAACCTCTCCAACTATCTACCTCAAGCTCTGGGATATCGGTGGTCAATCCGCCCTACGCTCCCTCTGGAAAAGCTACTTCTCATCCGCTCATGCAATTGTTTTTGTCATTGACAGCACGGACGTCCCGCGCATAGGAAATGAGGTTATCGAAGTACTGAAGGAGGTCGTTGAGCATGAAGAGACAGAGGGCGTACCAGTGCTGGTATTGGCCAACAAGCAGGACCGCGAGGAGAGCTTGGAGATAGCACAACTGAAAGAGGTTGTGAATCCTATTGTGGTCAAGTTGGGGGCTAGGGATAGCCGTGTTCTGCCTGTTTCCGCTCTGGAGGGGTGAGGGTTAAATTGTTCCAACAGATTTGTTTGCATCTGCTGACTCACCGCAGAACTGGTGTTAAGGAGGCCGTGGAATGGTTGAAGACGAGAGTTATGTGGAATAAGGAATCCCGACCTCCTACTATGCGCTGATATCGAAGCACACCTTCTGCGTGGAGCGCGGATCGTGTTCTATTCTTTCTGAAACCTACTTTTTCCCGGGTAGGTCTTATATGGTTGGGAAGAGGAGTATTAATTGTTTTATCCTCCGTTCATGGCGCTGATAGGAATTTGATTTGCTTCTGCTACACTCGCGCATTTGGTCTTTAGCTGAAGAGCTCTCGGGAGCGAGGATGCTGTCTGTCACTACCTAAGTGTATACTATACCAACAAGCGCAATCTGTGGCAATGTATCGTTTAGAGTGCAATGAGCGACAGGGTCTGTTCCTCTGTATCAACTGCTGGCTTTCACTCGGGAACAGTGTTCGGCAGATAGCAAAGATCGATCTTGAGCTAGAATTGATGGGCTGGGCACTACGTGCAAGAGGCATTATCCCTTGATCTCCCCTCTGCGCCCTATATCTAGTGCACCCGCCTCCTCTTTAAGATACTAGGAGGTAGATCTACAACATATTTAACGCAATACCACTTACACACCGCCTATAAACCTGGTGAAGGGATTTTCTGATCAAGCCACCCATGATTGTGCAAAAACAACTTCCTTCGGAGCAGCAGAAATAGTGAGTTATGGAGACACACCTTGGTTGTTTTATTGGCCTGGCTTTGACAAGAACATACCGGAGGCAAAACGGGAGCATACGGGCGGGTGAAACCGGATGCGAAAACACTTCACTAGAGAGGGTATTGTACTGGATGAGGGTTCATTCAATCAAGTTGGTGGAAGTCACCCTATCGCCCAGAGCTTAGCCAAGTATCATATACCCTTCTCTCTCTTCGGGTCAATACTAAGCAGAATGATCTTTCGCCGACAGGGCTCGTCATTAGAAACACTCACCTATTCCTTCCCTACTCGGGACTTATTTTCGACAGCCTCAGTGAATACGAAAAACCAGCCAACAACCAGCTTGAGGAACGAGACTTATCATACTTCATGCTAAGTATTTCACCCCTGCCTGTCCATTTCTTCGGCCCTTATCTATCCTTATTTCACCTCCCTGCCCCTGCGTATCTGACTTCATCCACCCTTACCGCTTCCTTTGAGTTGTTTCTATACCTGGCGGTGAGGAGGGAGGAGAAAGCGGCCCCTCTCTTGTTATGCGCAGAGACACTTTCCAGCCAACTTTAGCCATTGAATTCCCAATACGAATTGTCTATGCTGCTATAGAATTTTTGCACCTGAACTGAACTCGAAATCTCTAGGCGCTTCAGATCTTCTCTTCTCGTTGCTGTACTCGGAAAGCCTCCTCTGTTAGTCCACGAGTCTAACAACTTCCGAAACAAGTTTACATTTCATGGTTCTAGCCATTAAACCCTTTCCTGAGTCTTAAACTGAAGTTACGCAATCTTTTTCTGGCGTGCAAGGCTATTTGAGATGTCGTTCCGTAGACTGGGAGCCTCGAAAAAAGTATGTGTAACCAATGCCATTCAATTACTATCCATCCTCAATGCTCCGGCGCATGTCATAATTTAGGATCAAAAGTGCGATGGTATTAGAGACCAGGCTGACATTTCATTTATCAAGGATGAGGGAAACGCCAATTATCTTGAGCTAGACACCGGCCTCCTTGATCAGCTCGGACCACCCAGCCATAATTCTCATCTCTATCCCAGTCCGCCTAAGATTATAGCGACACAGAGTATAGAAGAGAGACTCGAGCCTCCTTCCCCACCATTCGCTCAAGGGAAGATATCAAGCAGAATACGCGCACTGCTCTCTGGTGATCATGGGACACCAAAACCGCCAGCGGCCATGCGCTGGGTGCCTCATCGTGGGCCAATTGCTGCAACATCGGACGGTGTGGTTCCATACCTGGGGCCTCGCGAGCCCCCAAAAGAACACTTAAAGGACAAACACTTGAGTCCTATAACTCCTCTCACCAGCCCAAACAATGGCCGCCGTTACTCGTGGGAGCCTAAAAGGAGGCCCCCACCGCACGCGCCCTTGTCCCCGCCCCCGCCTCCACCCCCACCCCAGTCCCCACCAGGGACACGACATTTCGCAATAGCCCCACCGATAAAGTTTCCCCAATTTCAATTGAGTCCTGGCGAGCAGGAGGATCATGTCGGGAATAGGTTGGATTTATACGAGACAGTTTCATCTAGCTTTGAGGACTTTGACGGATTTTGCTTTCGCCCCAATGAGAGTACTGGCGCGACAGGTCCACAAGAGGTATCGAAGCACAGTCTATCTCGTAAGAAGAGCGGCTTAGTTCGCACTGTTTCCGCGAGAAAGCAGTATCCACAAGCAGTGAGAATCCCCCACTCGCCGTCCGATAATGGACAAATCGTAAAACAGTGCGTCTTGCGGGGGCACATGCCTTCACCAGAAGGGACACCGCCCGTTTCTCAGGTCAGCCCCCCAGTAGAGAAGGGGACAGATTCCTGGCTTAGCGACGGCGAGGAGTCGGAGACGGAAGATTTGTTAGGCCTTCCCCACCCCGAAACGAGCGAGGAAGAAGTGGATGGTAGTTTGTCGCATGAATCCCATCCTGAAGTGCTAACCCAGGCTCGCGTACGCAAGAAGAGCAAGATTGACCTGGATATTCCGCGCGAGCGGGGTAGTGCTCTTCTACCGCCCGCTATACATCTCCCAGCACCTGAGGTATCCACTAGTAGTGTGAGAGTGGTACCGCCACTGTTTGGCCCTGAGGCTGTCGCGGCCGCTGCGCTACCTTTGGGTACTGATAGGGACGTAAATCAGGCAAATCCTATGGAAGTGGTGCTTAACCGACCAGTGGTTCATTATCGAGATCTGACTACCGCAGGGGATAAATCCTTCACCTGGCGAGAGGGTGTTCGTCCGGATCCCTCCCGCCCACTCAAAGATACAGGAAGTATTCAAGGAAAGTCTACTAACAATCCCAAAGAGCTCAGATATAGAGTCCGAGAGTCAGAGGGCCATTGCCCCCCTTCCAGGTATCCTTCTAATAACGGCGAACCGGGCATTGCTTCCTCCGGGATGGAGCAAACACCCCCAAGGGCAAGTATAGAAACCGTCAAAACCCCTCATACAGACTCTCCCGCGGCTGGGGTCGCCCAACCGCGCCCCCAAATCCCCCTCATCAGTGAGCGCTGGATCCCCAGAAAATACTCTGCCAATACTGTTACTGCCACCCCAAGCCCCCATCGCAGGATCCTCAAGTCGCTAGCAACCCTCACAGCCTCCAAGTCTGCGCCTCAATCTTCACAGGTGTTCCAGGGTGGAGGTGGCTCAATCTATACGTCCAGCCTAGAACCGCCGGCGATACCAAAGGACGTTAGCACACGGTCTTTCAGAATTAAAGGAGCTGGCCCATGGCTCGCCAGGCACTTACCCAAGAAAAAACTGGCCCAGTCTTTCTCCTGTGAGGTCCCTTTGCCGGAGGTCAAGAAACGACAGGTTCCCGATCCCGACGAGAATTTTGAGAAGCTTTTACAGGCAAGGGCAAAGGTAGAGGAGGCCTCACACCGTCCAGGTGGGAGGAAGACGAAACATTTGGGGGGAGGTTGGGGGAAGCGGAGAGATTGTTAGGTGGGTATTCCTTTTTTTCTAACGGCAGGGAAAGTGTTGGTTGATTACCTTCGCTTCGGTCCTTGCAAGTATGGGTAGTAGGATATATGCCCTACAAACTCTCCACCAGATGGTGAATGGGTATTCACAGGTTGCTTTTATACAGAGCAGGTTCGCAGAGTGTTATAATAGGAGCGGGATATGTTAAGATGGATGAATAAGCAAACTAGTATGCGATAGTTGCGTTTAAGTTTTAAGATATCTCTTGTCTCTGACATGCATGTATCATATCCCATGAGCTTGAATATAAGTATCTCTGTTGGACCTTCACCTAGTCTTCAATACTAGGTTCTGTTTTGTTTTCGTTGCATTTTTCCACCGCATCTTCTTTCTCTTGCCTTCGCTACCAGCCACTTTTAGCCTAAGGAATTTTTCTTGGTCAGTTTTTGCGCGGCGCTCTATACTGGAGCTGGAGTCATATTGTCTTGTTTGGCTTTGCGTTTTTTTTTTTTTTTATCCACCCCCACAAGAAGATAGCTTTTCAATAAAAAGAGACGCAGTTTGGTGCTAGGGTAACATGAGGAGCCGAGAGAATTCAAGGTTTCGAGAGATAGCCCTCGCTCTCCCATCTCCACTTGGCTTTACTTTGCTTCAACCAATCAAGCACATTATAGAGACCTATCATATTTTCCTTATGGAATTTCTCGAGTGACACTCCATGAATCGCCCATGAAGTAATGTAATCAGAACTTCGCACTCGATCTTGGCAACAGTTAACCGTGCCGGAAGATCACTTGGAGACCACTACCTGTATCTGATCACCGGCAGAAATCGGCCCGTCGGTCCACGATAAGTCCAATTCGACGAATGAATAGAACTGCGAATACTAGGTAACGAGATCCAACACAGCCGGTGGGATAACCTTTTGCCATGCTGCGTCTTTGGAGCGTTAATTTTCTCGGCGCTTTTGTCCTGAATTTGGGGATCACATGGCCCGCGGCGGTAGCGGATCCCAATACTCGTAGTCCCCACAGCACCGCCAGGCCGAGTTACGGGATGGAGGCCGAATCACATCAGAGATTGGGATTTTCGGGCCGACAGGATTCAACGGGTGCGAATGGATATGTAATAAAATTAATGGAAAATACACTTTCCAAAGCCCACTGCAAGAGAACCTACGGGAGATAATATCTTGGGAACCCCTATTTTGCTGCGACTCTGTTTCTGCCTTGTAACCCGGTATAGGGTACTGCAACAGGCTAACGGCAGACTATCGTACTACCCACCCGTAGGGAAAGCTAAGGGGCTGTTTGGCACGCAGTTGATTAAAGTAATCGTCATCTCAACACATGTTTTTTTGTAAACATGGGTACAGTACAAATAATAAACTATTCTTATTTGAACACATAGTTGTGCCAAACTGAATCCTTGTTTCTACACATGTTTTCAAAACACTACTTTATTAACCTCTTTTGAGCTTGTTAATTTTATTTTTTATAGCATTTTTAAATATAGGTAATATGTAAATGAGTAAAAGAATAATCATTCTGTAGACATGGTATAAAAACCCTTAATATAAAATTTCTTACAGCCCAGCCCTTAAAACTCTCACCCATTTAAGTTATTTTCTTCCTATTTAATAGTCTACTGCAAAAACTCGCCAAACTCGCTATGCAGGTATTGGCGCTAGAGATTGGATAGGAGCTTTTTTACCCTGAGAAATGACGGAAAATGACAATAGCACCTGAGAATAGCTGTATATCGGTGCCGGTTCCTACAATGATGCTGGTCTCATCAGCTAAGAGAAAATAGGTTGGTCACTGGAACGATCTTGGCTGTATTG